GTGAGCACACACACACAGGTGAGCACACCCAGGTGTGCAAGAACACTCACAGGTTCCTCCTGAGGTGCTGAGCTCACTGTGGACAGACAGGACCGGGAGGGGCGGGGTCAGCACAGGCCCCGCCCAGCCCAGCTCTGGGGGTTTGGGGGGGTCCCAAATCCAGGGGCACCCCCAGACTGCTGGGGGGGGTGGGGTCACCTGTTCTTTTGGGGGACACAGGGGTACCTGCACTCCTGGATGAGCTTTTGGGGGTTCCCTGCCCACCTGGGGATGGATTTGGGGATCCCTGCCCACCTGGGGATGGATTTAGGGGTTCCCTGCCCACCTGGGGATGGATTTGGGGTTCCCTGCCCACCTGGGGACAGGTTTTGGGGTACCTGCGCTGCGGGGGGGGCCGTCTCCCCGTGCCCAGCGCGCTGCCTCGGCCGCCAGGTGCCTCAGGAAGGGCTCCTGGACGCAGAGCAGGACGTTCTCGGGCTTGATGTCGGTGTGGATGATCTTGCACTTGGTGTGCAGGTAATCCAGGCCCTCCAGCACCTGAAATGGGGCACCCCAAATCCGCCAGGGCACCCCAAAACCTGACAGGGGCACCCCAAAAACCCCAGGGGCATCCCAAACCCCCCCAGAGCAGGTGGGGCAGGTAAAAATCTCCCCCAGAATGAAGCCCTGAAGGGATTTTGGGGGTCTGGGGGTGTTGGAGGGGGAAATGTGAGGATTTTGGGGGATCCACTGGGGAATTTGGGGGGTTTGGGGGGATGTTTGGGGTTCCTCATGAGGATCCGGAGTTTATTTGGGGTCCCCACGAGAATTTGGGGTGATTTTGGGGCTATTTGGGGTTCCCATGAGGATTTGGGGGTGATTTGGGAGCTATTTGGGGTCCCCATGAAGATTTGGGGTGATTTTGGGGCTATTTGGGGTCCCCATGAAGATTTGGGGTGATTTTGGGGCTATTTGGGGTTCCCATGAGGATTTGGGGTGATTTTGGGGCTATTTGGGGTCCCCATGAAGATTTGGGGTGATTTTGGGGCTATTTGGGGTCCCCATGAAGATTTGGGGTGATTTTGGGGCTATTTGGGGTCCCCATGAAGATTTGGGGTGATTTTGGGGCTATTTGGGGTCCCCACATGGATCTCAGCCTCTCCAGAACCGAACACCCCCATCCAATTCCCGTGGGGCTGGGGGGGATTTGGGGTCTCTGGGCAGCACATTGGGGGTCCCAGGTAACCGGGGGTGATTTGGGGTGATTTGGGGGGGCTCTGAGCAGCAAAGCTGGGGGATTTTGGGGGTCCCCAGACCCCTCCTCACCTGCCTGACGATGCTCTTGACGCAGGGCAGGGGCAGCCCCTGGTAGTTGGATTTGATGATCCAGCGCAGCAGTTGGTGCCCCAGCACCTCCAGCACCATGCAAACATCTGGGGGAGTCAAGGAGCGCCCCCAGACCCCTGAGACCCCTCCCCTTTCCTTTCTGGGGTGGGAAACTCGGGGTACACCCCCCCCAAAAAAAAAGGATACGGACGCCGTTGACCCCCGAAATCCTGAAATCGTCGATGAGCTGCACGATGTTCTCCCTCTTGGGGTCGCTGGGGTCTGAATCCCTCACCTGGGGAGGGGTCGTGAGGGGGTTTAGGGGGCGGATTTGGGGGTCCCCGCTGTTTTTTTTGGGGGTGCACTCACGCATTTCAGCAGTTTGATCTCATCCAGGGCTGTCTCGGTGTATTGGGGGGCGCTTTTCACCACCTTCAACGCCACGAAACGTTTCCTCCTGCTCGGAGCGGCCCCAAAAGAACCGCTCAGAATTGCAGGGGAGACCCCTCCCCACCAGTCAGAATTGCAGGGGAGCCCCCCCGAAGCCCCCCCGGGGGTGTCCCCGAGCTCACCGGAGGTCCCAGCAGAGCCACACGGTGGAGAAATGTCCCCAGCCCAGCTTGCGAACCACGTGGTAGCGCCCGTGGAAAAGGTCCCCGATGCGAACCGGGTAATACCCCCCTGGGGAGGGGGCGCGGGGGGGTGGGATTGTCACTCTGGGGTTTGGGGATCCCCCCCAGAACCCCCCCCAAAAAAAAGGAGAGACCCCCCTCCCCTCCCATACCTTTGCAGTAATCGCGGGGGTCTTCCTGCTCGCCCTCGTCCGAGCCCAGCAGCGCCTCGGGCAGCGCCGGGGGAGGGGCGGGGGGCACCTGTCCGGGGGGGGTGGGGGTCCTGAGGGAGGGGACAGCAAAGATGGGACCCCCCCCCAGGTCCTCAAACCCCCTCTGTGCTGCCCCCTCCCCAAATTCCGGTCCCTTCGAGGGTCTTTGTCCCGCCTTGTCACAAAGTCTGGTCCTTTCGGGGGTCTCCTCTCTCTCCCTCCTCCCCAAAATCCAATCCCTTCGGGGGTCTTCTCTCCCCCTCCCCAAATTCAGGCCCCTTTGGGGGGTCTCCTCTCTCTCCCCGCTCCCCAAAATCCAATCCCTTTGGGTGTCTTCTCTTCGCTCCCCCTCCCCAAATCCAGCCCCTTCGGGGGGTCTCTCTGCCCCCCCCCCCATACCTGGTCCCTTCGGGGGTCTCTCCCATGCTGGGGAGGGGTCCCAGGGTGGTCGCAGAGCGGCAGAAGAGCCGGGAATGTTCCCAGGGGAGCGCTGGGAAGCCCCCCCGAGCTGGGGAGGGGGAGGGGGGGCAGGTGCGGGGCATTCTGGGCCATCACCCCCCCAAAATAGAAATGACCTCAAGCCCCTCCCCACCCCCCCCCGGCCCCGCGGGGCTAAAAATAGCCCTGGAGGGGGAGGGGAGGCCCGGAATGTCCCCCCCAGCCCCTAAAAGGGGGCTCCGTTCGTGCGTCCCCCTCCCCCCCATTCTGGGTAAGGGTCATGGGGGGGTCACGACCCCGCTGACCCCCCCCCTCACCTTGGGGGTGGTTTCGGTTTTTTGTCCTTTTTGCGCTTTTTCCTTCTCCTGATGGGATCTGGGGAGGGGATTTGGGGGTCGCGGGGTCCCCAGGTACCCCAAATTCCCCTCAGGGAGCCCCGAAATTCCCCCGCCAGCCCCAAATTCCCCTCACGCTCGCCCTCCCTCCCTCACGACCCCTCCCATAAAACGGGACCCCCATTTTCCTCTCATATCGCCCCAAACCCTCAGGACCCTTCCTGGGGGGGCCCGTTTTCCCCTCAGGGACCTCATTTTTCCCTCAGGACCCTTCTGAGTTCCCATTTTCCCCTCATGACCCCCCCTCCTATACCCCATTTCCCCCTCAGAGACCTCAATTTTCCTTCAGGGACCTCATTTCTCCCTCAGGACGCCCCTCTCAGACCCCACTTTCCACTCAGAACCCCCCTCTCATTTCCAATTTTCCCCTCAGGACCCCTCTCAGACCCCATTTTCCCCTCAGGACCCCTCTCATTCCCCATTTTCCCCTCAGGACGCCCCCTCCTCACCGGGCCCCCCTCGCAGCTCCATTTCCCGCGCGCGCCCCTCGCTGCGCGCGGCGCCCCCTGGCGGCCGGGGAAACCCCGCGGGCCCCGCCCACGAGCCAATCAGAACCCGCCGTGCCGTGATGGCCACGCCCCCTCAACCACGCCCCCTGTCGCCATGGAAACGCGGCCTAGCGCGACGCCGGCGGGAGATCCCGCGCTGCTTTGTCGCGATAGAACGAGACTCAACCCACCCCGCCGCGAGCATCGCGATATTTTCTGTGTCGCGACAGGACGCGGAGAGCCCCGATAGCCCTCAAACCCCACCCGGGTATCGCTCGGATCAGGCATCACAGCGATCCGCTCGTCCCGGCGCACCCAAAGTGACGCAATTCCCGCCCTCACCGCTGATTGGCTGCCGCCACCTTGCGCGTCATCGGAGAGCGACGCATCACCATGGCAACCGCGGGGTAAACACCAGCGGGGCCTCCAAAGCGGGCCCGAGACCCCCAAAATCCCAGCGGGACCCCCCCAAAAAGCCGCAAATCCCCCCCCCCAATCCTTCCCCCCTCCCCCCTCTGCCTGTCCGGGGTGGGGGAGGGGATGGGGGGGAGGGGGCCCAGCCCCCCACGAACAGACGGGGCCAGGGGGGCACTGGGGATCATTTTAATATCGGGGGGGGGGGGGGGGCAGCACCCCCGGGACCCTTTTCCCCCTCCCCCTCCCCCCCAGCTGGGGCTGGGTGCTCAGGGGGGGGAGGGGGAGGGGCAAAGTGGGGACCCCTCCCCCCATTTCTCTTCTCCCACCCCCCCAAACACCAACACGAGGAGGGGGGGGAGGGGAAAAAAAGAAGAGACCCTACAAAAAATAACAACCCCCCCCCAAAATTCCCCCAGCCCCCCACTCTTCCTTCCAGCTGGCATTTTGAGGAGGGGTCTTCTTCCTCCTCCCCATCCCCCCACCAAAAAAAAAAAAACCCAAAATAAAAATAAAAAATAAATTAAAAAAATGCCGAGGTTCATCCGCGGCGTCCAGCGCTGAGCGCCCCTCCCCCCACTTCTCTTTTCCTTATTTTAGGGGTTTTTTTTCCTTTTTTTCCCGGGTTTTTACCTTTTTTTCCCGGGTTTTTCCCCCCCCCTTTTTTTTTTCCGTTATTTTCCATTTTTCCCTTTTTTTTTCCATTTTTTTCACGTTTTTTTCCAGTTCTTTTTCATTTTTTTTCTCCTTTTTTCCCTTTTTTTTCTGTTATTTTCCCCTTTTTTTCCATTATTTTCCGTTTTTCCCGGGTTTTTTCCCCTTTTTTTCCATTATTTTCCGTTATTTTCCGTTTTTTCCCGGGTTTTTCCCCTTTTTTTCCGTTATTTTCCATTTTTTCCCCTCTTTTTCTCCATTTTTCCCATTTTTTCCCGTTTTTTCCCCGTTATTTCCTCAGGACTTTTTTCCTTGTTGTTTTTTCGCGTCTCCCCCTCCCCAAATTCCGCCCCTCCCCCCTCATCCGGGGGGTCCCTCTGATGGTTTATTTTTGGGGGGGGGAG